TGCTACAACAACAACAACAACATAACAAAAGTAGTTCGCTTCACTTAAAAGCCAGTTGCGCTTTATTTATAAATTTGGGAGTATAATTTGAGAGTATAGTCCCGCCACTTTTGCCTCAATTCCAAAATTGTCCGTACTTTGTGACGTCTGTGGTGTATTCCTCAGTCCATCTTAGTAGAAAAGAAATCGGTGGTAGTAGGGAGTTATCTGATTCACTAAAATGCACTTTCGAGCCGTATATTCGGTTATTTTATTCTCTTACATATTGCTATGTCTAGAAACCCAGCAGAGAGAGAGAGAGAGAGAGAGATTTTGACGTAACCAGCGATGGACGACATTTCCGAACCACTTTCGAATTTACTGCCGTTGAACTTAATATTTTCAATGTCGCCTGGCTGTTAACGACAAAGATTTACTGTACCGTGTAAGACACACGCCGTCTTCTCTATGCCAAAGAACTCCGCGACACAGTTATTAGATGGACCTTATCTAAAGGTCTTTGGCGTACAGACCCGAGCTGACTCCTTTTTCCATCTTTGAGCCATCGGTGTGGATGGAAATACCATCATTTACCGATGGTACGCTGCCTTGCCAATCTTGCTTGCTTGGTTGGGAAATGTATGGAAATATTAAAACTAAAATACCAGAATGACGTACAGTAATCAGTTTCGACATCTAAGTAGGCCATGATTCCGTTGCGCCGTAGGCTATTCATTACCTTCAAGGCTGCCGCGTGCCCGTGGTTTGTCTACTTTCACAATTTTGACATCCTTACTCAAAGGGTTCCATTCCCTATTACGAATACTAAAACTACTTACTTCATGTAAAATATCCTGTTCGACCCTTCTTGTGGTGCACTTCTTATAGCTCTATTTCCATTATTTTTTGATTGCTGCTTTCATCCAGTGCCTTCCACCAGGTAAACACTCCCTAGGTTAAAATCGGTCTGATGACTATGGTGCACATTCCGTGGATGATGTGCTGTGGCAGCCCTTAGTTTTTCCTGGAAGCTCTTTTAAGTTTGGAGTCAAGTATAATACCTAAGTATTTCGCTTCGGAGAAAAGTTTCAGGCTAATTCCGCCTGGCTTTGGTAAGGGGGATTCAGAAATTTTTCTTTTCCTAGTGAACAAATCTAGTTCGGTTTTAGAAGGGTTAATTCCTAGCCCATTTGGTTTTGCAAAGTCGGAAACACTGCCCGGTGCGCGAATCGAAGTTGTGTAGAGGTATTTTCTGCGAGTACCTCTTATTCAACTAAAATTTAGCCTACGAAATCCCTGCAGTGTTTTCCTAGCGCCACACTGTTAAGGCCCAATCAGTTTGTTCATGGCGGGCTTCAGTATTTCACACAATACGATCGATAAGATCTTATAACATACATATGTTTAGAACGCTGTTCATATTAGTGATAGCCATTCTTTGTGCATGAGCCAGCTACCAAGATATACCCCGTAAGCAATCGGGTAACAAATCTGCAATCCTTCCTTGGTTGTCGTGAGTATAGTTTTTGCAGGTGTTTAACTCATTATATCCCCGTACTGCCTAATCAAACTGTCGTCTATTTTGTCAATCACTTCCCGGCTGCGAAGGACGTTAGAAAGATAAAGCCTCCTCATTTTAAAATTTCGAGTTTAGTTCTTAAAACTTGCGTTATTTTGTTTATAACTATGGGATACTGAATTTTAATTCGTTCTTATTAAATTAAGATTTCGACTAGCACACTTAGCAAAACTTTTGAATCAGAATATGTAGATTGTCACAGGCCAAAAAGTTGCTAAAATAATTGCTTCAAGATTTCATATCAAATAAAAACAGGCAATGAATTGACAAGTGCACTTTTTCATTAATCACTCTTAATAGTACTCGCAAATTTTTAATAAATCGTAAACAACTTTCAGAAGACCTTCAAATTTGACAATAATAATAATAAAGCAATTTGCCGAAAGGTGGACTACTTACTTACTTAAATATCTTTCGATTATGACAAACAAAAATCGTTATATAGTACATACATACAAATCCATGTACATATTTTCAGCGGTATGTATAAAAGAGAAAAGCTTAACAAAACGATAAAATAATCTTTTTATACATATGTATGTATGCATGTACTTTGATTTACTGTATGTATGTATGTATGTCCTTCCTCATCACGGACGCACCCAAAACATAAAATGCTCAATGGTCAAAATGATAATTTCAATTGCATGCTGATTTAACGCTGACACCTTATTATAATTAATTTTTATTTTATTCTTGAACGGATATGTATGTATGGTATAGAAAAGCAAGTGATGGTAGAATACATACAAATTTATAAAAGTGCCATAGTTACCCAAAAAAAAAAAAATAAAATTAGTTTACTGTTAATTTATTGTTTCGAAAAAAGAGGCTAAGTCACTATTTCGGTGCCGTTCCTTTTCTTCCAAGGCAAGTATGCATACAAATATTGAAAGGCGTAACAAATTGTGATTGGCTTTTTAATTAGTAAATTCAGCAGGTGGCATGAAATTCATGCAGAATTATATAATGAAGAAATTGTCAGGTAATGGTCATAAAACTACTAGCCAACTTTTGTAAAAGTAAGTGGGAAGTGAAGCGTATCGCGGATCGACCAAAAGTGTAGAGTTGGTGACAAATTTTGCAAACTTTTTTTTTTTACATAACACTTTTGCCTATAATTTTTTTCTTCTACTCTAATTGCATATTTAGATATGTATAGTAGAAAAATTTTGCAATGCAATAAAAATAAGTTGTGCATACAGTGGCGGGGAGATGAATGAAGACACATTATTTTAACAAGTTTTGGCTATTTTTTTTTATTTATTTATTGTTTGATATTTTTTATAAAAGTATTGCTCACCGTCTAACAAAAACCTAATTCCTATGATATTCATGTGAGCTCGCAGCTTTTCCATCAGCTTTGGAGTTGTAACTTACTATACTGCCTAGGCTTTGAATAGCCCGTGTGAGTTCTCTCAATGGGCTTTCCCAAGTAGGCGGACCGTTTATCTAAGCTATAATGGTGGCTGAACCTTGGCTTATCGACTCAACTCTTAACTTTCTTCACTATCTAACTACTTTGATCTGAAACCTGATCAGTTGACTGCTGCAAAATCTATTCGAAGGAAGGACCCGCTTTGTAAGACAAAGCTGAAAATTATGGCTTAAATTACACTTCTTTGATCAGATAGATAATGGTGGGCCCATTGTAGAACGACCACGCAAATCTGGCTCAGCCAGAGGAAAATGTCCGACCCACTCTATGTAGAACATCGTATATGGCAAGTGACCGGAATTATTACCGACCACTGCTTAGTGGGAAGGCATGCTACTAGAATAGAACTGCCGATTAATGACTTCTGCCCATCGACTATCTCTTTGAATGCGCTGTCCTAGTAGTAGCCACTACAACCTAACGTAACATAACCGGAAGGGCTGGGATATTAGAATACTCGAATATCTGATTAAAAATTACGAATATCCGGATAACAACATGAACGGGTATTAACCGGATATCAAAAACAAACGGGTATTAATAACCGAATATCCTGATATCCGGATTTTTTCCGTTTGTACGAATATCCGAGCATATGTACATATGTATGTTTTTATGCCTTCAGTTTCGAAAATATGAGTTTTGAAGATTACTCGACCGCGGCGTCATCTAGCCGCGAGGTTTATACCAATTCAGAGTCCGAATTGGAGTTTAGTTTTGAGATTACGACATTTGATAACGAATCCGCCTTTTAATTCAAATCATGTTGACGAGAAATCAGATTTCATTTTTCTATTTCGATTTTAAACAACTAATTCTTCGATCACGGATGTTGTGATTCGGCACCACGTTTTCCAAAATCTTCGAAATTTTCGGAGAAAGTTTCAAATTCGTATTATTATGAAAAAAAATTTTATAAAAATGGGAGTAAGTCTATTATTTCAAATTTCCTTAACTCCATCTTGTCTCTAACATAGTTTCCAAAGAGCTATTTACTCTTAAGAAAATAATGTAAAATTGTATAAGTTTTACTTTTTTTCACGTCCATTTTTTTCAATATGATTTTGCAAGTTGTAATAAAAAAAATTCATAAAAAAAATTCAGATTTTTTTTTAAATAAAAATATCATGTGTATCAATCACAATACACAATGCAAATTGTTTTTTTTTACTTGTTGACTTATGTATGTTCCGGAAAAGGTTAAACTTTTTAATCAGCTTTTTAACGATTATGGCTCATTATAGTGCTAAACTTTTTTTTTTTTTAAATACACCAATTGATTTTCTGCATACATAAAAATTTCTACCCAAGCTCCAAAAGCAGTTAATTAGGTTGTAAAAACTTAATAACTAACTTGAAAACAACAGCTATCACTTTGCTTTGCTTACTTTTGCGCGATTTGCACACATTCACTAAAAAATCAAAATGAGCAATAAAATTGACTAGAGCCATAAAAAGCATTAGTGGGAAATTCAAAAACACACAAAACAAGAAAAAGAGAAACAAATATGAAATATAATCTCAGCTATCAACTGCAGCGAGCGCAAGCAAAAACTTCAATAAAAACGAGATCATTAAGTGTGCTAAACACCCACTAACCAGCAGAGAATGACTGACAGTTATGTGGTCTAAAAATTAAAAAATCTTTGACTGTAAGCCCCTAGAACTGTCATGCACACGCCCATAGCTGGTTATAAAATTTGGTGCGATTGCCACATGAAAACAGAAAAAAAAATCGAAATTGAAAAAAATTAAAATTAAAAAAAAAAAATATGAAGTTGAAAAGACCACAAATTGAAACCAAGAAAAAAAATATGTAAGACAACACCACAAAAAAATGTAAGTGATCAATTTGTGGTTTGCTTGCGGTTAAAGTTGTTGCTTTTTACCCATTTTTACCCTCTGTTGTAGCGCACACTTAACTGTCAAACAATGTTGCAAAATAATTTTTATTGATACTCGTACGTAGCGCATAGATAATAACCAAAAAAAAAAACAACTTACCACAAATTGTTGTAGTTGCATTTTTGCACGCGCCGCTATAAATCCGCTTTAATGGTTTGGCTTTATTTTTATTTATATTATTTGCTTTGTTGTTGTATTTGCTGTTGCTGTTGCTGTTTTTCTTTTTTTTTACTATTCGTTCAATTGAAATTTTCGTTGCTTGTAAGCACTTCCGGTTCTAAGGCGCAGGCGCACCAACACAAGCAATTCAAATTGTTCACAAAACACAAACAAACACACGCACACACAAAACAGTCTCTTCAAATGCTCTACGAGCGATTCGTTTTCTTCTCCTTCTTGTCTTCACAATTGCACTAAACTGCAATTTTTATGAGCGAAACCTGCGTGCGTTGCTTATTTAACTTTTAAAACAAATCCAAATTCCGCTTGATTGCTGGGCGTTGTTGCGGCGGCGGCGGCGGCGGTGGCGGTGGCAGTGGTTGTGTTGTTGGTGGTAACCTTTTCGTTGAAAATCGCTTGTCAAATGCTTTGTGCCACACGCTTCCAATTCGTTTTTATAGTCAACGCGCTTGGCTTAAGGCTGGTGCGAATGAGCAGCAAAAAAGCCAAAAAAAAAAAACGGCAAAGACAAGAGTAGTGGCAGAAGAAATCAAAACAGCAGCAGCTGTTGCTGGCCAATACTCGTTGATTGGAAGTGAGCTTTTTAGCTGACTGACTGGAAGTAGGTAGAGAAAGCTTTACTCTTCTGAGTATTAGTGCGTGCAATTTTGACTTCCGGCGGAACTGCAGTGTCAACTTGGCGGTTACGCATTTATGGAGGTTTGCAACAAATATTTTGAAAAAAGAAACCACTAATTTTAGATATGAAAAATGTTTATTTAGGATTAATTCCTTTTGAAAACCCTGGCGTCTTGAATGAGCTAAATAAGAAACACTTCATTACAAAAAAAAAAAAAAAAACAAAAAAAGTTTATTGAACCTTGCTGAGTAGCATAACAATTCCGCTAATCAATCACCGTTTACCAAAAACAACAAATTTATGTGCTACAGTTAGTGACACAGTTAAGCTTTTTCGTGAATGAGCAATAAATTTCAAGCGTGCTTTGCATACGCAAATTTTTGGACTGATTTGGAAGGTAGCAAATACATACGTATACTTACGTACATATGTATTTTGATATATGTACGTATGTATGTGCATTAGATCGTTACACCTTACAAGCAAATATAAAAAAAAACGTTGGCCGGCACCCCGATTTGTTTGTTTTGGTCGAACCTTTTTACATTTTTCGGCGACACTTATGTATGTACGTTAGGGTGGTCCATAAAAATAAAGTCGGATTTTTTTTATTGATTGCGTATTTAAATTAATACAAGGGTTTCTCAAAAAAGTAAAAAATAAGCCCCTATTTTTTATTTTGAAATTAAAAAATTTTTAGAGGTCGCTGAAATCGTTCAAAATTTTCCATGTTTTTTATATGGGAAAAACAACTTTTCGTAATACAATAAATTAATTAAATACATAGTATAGAATTCTTGAAAATCAATATATTTCGACCGCTAAACTCTGGTTCCCTTCAGGAGACATTCAATGATAATACCCAGTTTATTTAACCATTTTTTAATACTCCCTTATTGCATTTTCTGGGGTTTTTGGCAGACTTATAAAATATAGTTACTATGAAAAAATGATTACAATGTGTTCCAATATTGAGAATTCTGTACCATTTCTTCGAAGAGTAGGTTTTTCCTATATAAAATAAATACGTGGAAAATTTTGAGCGCTTTGATTTGAAAATAAAAAAAATTGGGGCATACTTTTTCGGTATCCTAAGATACGATAGATAGGGCGTTCTTCATCCAAATTTTGAGATATGGTGTTTTTCAATAAAATTCTGAAATAATGCATTGTTCAAAAATTTTTTGAGAGAGGGCGTTTTCGAACTGATCGATATACAGTCCAAATATGAGCCATATCGCACAATAAATAAGGGGTTTTCAAATATCTTGACGCCTGCGCCACCTAGCGGATGCATTAATCTTTATTTCCATCGGGTTCTGAGCCATCGGGAGGTTGGTAAATATTGTGGCAATATTTGAGTAGGGACAATTCTTTTTCGCTTTTATTTTTGGGTTCGTTCTCTTCTTGTTTTCAATATTTGAATTAAATTTCAGTTCATTCTCTAACAAAAATCATATGAGCTCAAGTTTCAAACTTTGTAGGAAATAAAAAAAATTTATCAAAACTTTTTGCTTTTCCCAAGAGCTTGTTGGTTTTTTTTTGAGTATGCAGTCCAGTTTTAGTATAAAAAATGCGAGCCTCGAAAAAATTTAAAAAAATTCAGACAAAAAGGTTAAAATCTTGATTTTTTTTTTTAATTTTCTACAAAGCTTGAAACTTTCGTTTTGATTGAAAAATAATGGAGATTAAATAAAAGAAAGAGAACCCAGAGTAATGCAAAAAACCAATGCCCCTATTCATACTTTAAGATACGAATGTAAATGTTGAAGATGTGACGGAAAATTTAAAAGGGCGATTCATACGTTCGGCAAAAAAAATCGTTTTTTTGAAATTGACCTGCAAAAATATCTTACGACTCTGCGGTGTACGATAAACTTTTTTTCCGGTACGGTCTAATGTACAATACATACAGATGTGCTCGTTACCCTGCAGGAAATATATCTAACTATAAGCTAACTTTAAGTTGATTAGGAAGGAGCTTTGAGTCACTTATTATCTGTATATTTTCTTTGATGAAAGCTAACTATATTTCTATAGCGATAGCCGCGAAATAGTCAAGGGTGGTTTACCTCTGCATTTGATGTAACTAACTTGTAACTAACTACTTTTGGCCTTAAAATATCAATAGCAAAAACAAAATATATTTTTTTTAATTTTTTTATTTATTTTTACTTTATTTATTTTATTACATTTCATATTTGTTTCCATATTCTGCTATAGGTGGTCCCATATTCGAACTCCGTCAGACATAACTTCAAAAAGTAACCGCATCTTTGATTTCTTTTTACAACCTACACACATCATATGCACCTAACATTGCATAACGTAACATTTATACATTAAATATTGTCAACGCATCGCGTTAGATGCGCCTGTAAATTAAATTAATTGCATTGCCAACACTATTTGAGCTTTAATGGCTCACGATACATTTGTTATTTGTATTTTTTTGAATCGCTTTTTCATCGAAATGAAAGTACACTTAGTTTCGAACTTTAATTTGGGCACTTAAACAATTAAATAATCCACAAATATGTATGTATATGCAAATGAACCTTACGTAAATGTACTAAATTGTGTTTTCCCTCCATCGCATAACCCTACTCCTTTCATTATCGACGTGATCGTGCCTGCTTTAGCAAAATACTTTGTGACCAGAGCAGACGAGCACTCAGCAAACTTATTTGGAAGGGATTTTGCCTGAGTTGGAATTCGGAACAAGGTTATGAGAAAATTCATCAAATGGTATTTATTTTAAAACTTGTTTTGAGAATCTATCTTTTTGACCCGGTTTTTGGTAAAATCAACGTCAGAGGGTTAAATTGTTTGACAAAAATTTTAAGCCATAAATTTGTATTAGGTGTCACCAATAGTTAACGGGAGTTTTGAGATCTTTAATCCACGTATCGTTAAGAAAGAAGCCTCGCGGGGACTTTTGTCTTGTAAAGCGCTTCTAAGAGATTTCTGCATCCAGATATAAAAATTTTGCCTAAAGCAGTTATATGGTAGACCTTTGAATGCCTGCTCAGTTCATTTACTGGTGGGTATATTTGTCACTTGATTTCTGATGACTCCACTATATCTCCATACCCAAATATGGGTAATAATCATTTTGTAATGTAGATTTTTTTTTTTTTTGGGCTGCGGCATCCACCTTGTATGAATACGCCTTAGACAGCCCTTTTCCTGGCTGTGATGAGTATTCAAATTTAAAAACAATCCCGATTTCCGGGCTTTCGTATTTTGGCTGTTCTGCTATCTCAGTAAAATGCAACTTTCGGATACCGATGTCTGTTGTTTTGGGAGCTGAGTGCACTTGGTTACTTTAATTTCTCTATAAGCACACATACATGCTTTTGCATTTAAATGTTTGGGTCTGTTTTGGCGGCTGTGTAGGCACATTGCTTAGTTTACCTAGAGCTTAAAGCTTTTTCTGCGCTTAGTGTAATACGGACAACTAAGCTTTTTCACAGAAACTTATCAGAAAGAAATGGTGCTTGAAATGGATGAAGCTTTTAAATACGGAAGCTTTGAAAAGGAAACGGAAAACGGGCATACATATTTACTTAGTTGTACATACATATGTATATACTTGTAGATATTTTAAAAAAGCTTTTTTAAGTTTAAAGTTAACTAAATAGACTATTTTATATTGATGTACATGTATCCGAGTTTTCTGAAATTATGTATATATGGACGTTCTTTAATATTTCATATTTTAAGTAAAGAATGTTGTAGAAAAAGTCTAATTGATAAAATAATGGCGCATTCGCTAAAATGACAAATTTTGGGTCGTAAGTTACGGACCTGTAGGCAGTTTTTCTAGACCAGGTAATTTTCCTAAGATATTTTCATATTAAGTTAGCATTATGAATAAAAAAAATCAAATTTTAACAGGGAAAACATTTAAAATTAGCATACTCCTACATGGCGTACGAGTAACATCTCTTTCGTGCTCATATTTCATACAAAAAATTTAATACGCTCTCTCTCTTCCCTTGACCATCCACAAGTTTTTTTATTTATCCATCGATTTTCTGGATGGGATGTATGCCCCATAAAAAAATTTAGATTTTGGAAATTTTTAAGAACCACCTTAATGTGCATATGTATTTTTTGTTCTTATGTATTTCGATTGCATAAAATTTCCAACAAATCTAGTGCCTGTTTCACGAAAAAATTTAAGTGAGAAATATTTTTTTTATTTGAATTTATTAGGCAACCTGACAGGGGGGAAAAGCCATGTTTCCCTTAAACTGCTGGTGAAAACGACAGTTAAATTAGATTTTTGACGTTATTTTCGGCGATTTCTAGTCGAATTTTCTTTGTTAAAATAAACTTGAAATATAAAGCAAAACAAAAAAAAAAAAAATTTAACCATTTTTTGTTTTGTCTGTTAAATTATTCACTGCTTTTCCATTTATCCTAAAAAACATAATTGCGGTACAAAGCTCAATAGCAATATTGAAATAAATGTTAATATGCCACAATAATATTGACAAATAAAATTTTTAGTTTTTGTAAAACAAAATTTTTTATGTAAAAAAATTTAAATTTTTGGGATATTTTTGGCGAGTGTTCTTGCTAGAAATATTGCATGTAGAGACTGCAACCGTTAGGTTCCTTATAATAAGAAGCATAATTTAACTGAAAAAATTAGATTGATGTTTTTGCGGTCAAATTTAAACGTTATTTTAGACTTTTTTGTTTCGTTATTTTCAGATTCATAAAGGATCAAAAAAATAAAAATAGCGATTTTTTTGTATTGAAAAAATA